AGAGAGAGAGAGAGAGAGAGAGAGAGAGAGAGAGAGAGAGAGTATTGTGTGTTTATTAATACTCAGCTTTCGTGTGCAACAATAAACCAATGTTCAGATGATAATTCTGTCTGATATCAGGCAATTGTCTTACACAACAAACATAATTATGAACGGAACAATTATGTTTTGTTGTTGCCTCCGATTGCATTAGTTATTTACCACAAATCTACATCTGCATTCTGCTGGGAGCAAAATAAGTGAGAGTGGTTTTTATGTTTGTTTTCCTCTCAAAAAAATATAATCACCCCTTTTCAAATGAAAAATGTATGAGCCAGACGACAGTATCCTTTTCCAACATAGGTGGGCTAAAACTCTGTCAACAGCTGCCATTACAGAGAAGCCATTATACTGTATTTGTCTTGTTTTCTCCAAGTCAACATTGAGCCCTATGTCTTAAGTTTGACTCCAGGGCACGTAGGTGTGATAGCTTCAGGTACAAAGCAAGATCGATACTCGTTTACTGAGGTGCAACACAACTTGTGACATTTTCAGGAATTTGTCTCAGCAGGGTTTGACAGCGCAATCCAAGTTAGGTCCAAGAATCCATCTAAATGATTGGATGACTAATATATGGCCCTTTCAGCTTACTATTTTTAGCATAGTAATGATATGGCCAAAAACTATTTCAACCAAGGATGAGTCACACTGACAAGCACTTTTAATGAAGGTTAAAGCTGCTGTAATTTGAATTTTGGTCACTCTGGCCCCAGAAGTGCCTAGATTTTTAACTTTAATAACTTGAACACACACACAAAAATGCAAATAAAATACTGACAAACAAAGCAGAACTAGACACAACTTCTTCTTCAAAATAAAAGAGACACTGGCAAAGAAAACCAAGATTACTCAAGCTGTCACACATTTCAATTTTAACAGAGCCACTACAGTCAAAATGCATACATATTCAGCCAGCCCGACAGCTGTAACCAATAGTTTTGTGATAAAAGTCACTGGCTGGGCAGCACTGCATTGTCATATAGTTTGCAGATTTCTGCCTTGTGGCAAGAAGGCAGACATCAAGAGTGACTCGGAACTTCAAACACAGATACAGTATTCATCAGTTATTTTAACCGCTTGTCCAAATTCATGGCTGTAGGGGGCTCTCACTGGAGATGAGAAAGGGTATACCCCGGACTGGCTGCCAGTCTATCACAGGACAGCACAGAGAGACAGACAACCACACACACACACACACACACACATTTGAACCTATAGACAATTTGGATCACAAGATAACCTAAGACACATGTGTTTGGACTAAGTGTGTGAGTGTTGGGAGTGGGGATACCTGGAGGGACCTGACACAGGCACAAGGAGAACATGAAAAGTCCACACAGAAAGGCAGCAGCAAGTCAGCAGGTTCAAACCCAAAACCTTGTTGCTGTGAGACATCACTGCTACCACTGCAGAGACACATTAACCATGTACTAAAAGCCACAACTTCAATTAAATCTCATGAGGCTGTTTCATTTTGAGAACAATTCCTAAATCATTAAATACGAAATTGTGCTGTCCCACAAAGTGGGATTGTGAGATATTACATAACTAGAACATGATGGTAAGTAGTGTCCAAAAACTAACTGCTCTGTGAATTTTAACTATCGTATATGGTGCAGTAAACTTGTGAATAAAGACTAGAATATTGTCACTCAAATATAGTATTTTACACTTGATATTGCTTCACCTAACAATAACAAGCCACAGCTCCATTTCCTAAAATTAGAATTAAAGAAAGGAGCATCTCAAACATATGCCAAAATTATAAATGTTTTGGCATTGACAAAAAAAAAAATGTTAGCTCTACTATGCAATCTGTAGTTACTATGGTCTATAGTTTGCTCTACTGTGCATGTGTAGACCAAATCTCAGCTTGATGAGTCACACTGAGATGCTCACAGTCACTACCACATATGGGAAACATGTAATGGTCTTACATACCTATAGAGATCAATAGGTGTCCTTGGAGATATTGTGAACAACATATAAAGTATGAGTCATACAACCCACAAAAGGCTCTGACTTTTGGTAACCCAAGTAGTAATCAGATAACTTGGGAATACCCTCACCTCTGCAAGGATATTGTGCCATTCAGCACAATTAAATACGAGTGCTCCATATATCTCTATAAGTGGACCTGAAGCATTTTTTCCACACATAAAGTTACTTTAGCTGTATACAAAGCATGAGTCTGTTATTCTTCACCACCTCAGATATGGTGAAACATCAGAGGCACATAAACACCCAATTTTCCAACAACATTATAGGGGAAGCATTTACTTTCTTAGTTTTTAAGAAAGACAGGCATCTATTAATTATAATTTCAAACAAAGCTCAATAGCACAGTTGTTCATGAAAAGTATTAAGCCAAGGCTTGATGTAAAAATCTTAATTTAATACATTCAGACATAACAGACACTAATAAATCACACAGAATGTTTTTGTGATAGTAAATGGCATGTTTCCTGTTAAATTGAGTAACTGTACTAAGCTAAATAGAAAATAATGATATAAATGTATTACTTTATTTATATATAATTGTTTTTTGGCATGGA